TTTTGCTGTCTTTATCTATCTGATTGAAAATTTAGGAGACACATGAAGGGAGTGGATATAAGGAATGGGATTGCCAAAGGATACTTTGTGTTGTGATTTTCATAATTAATGACACTTTTTACAAGGGTAGATGGAGTAATGTAATTTGATCACAGGACATCTGTAATATTAATGACCAATAAGAAATCTCAGTAAAACTAGAAGTGGGAATTGTGATTGGATTCTGTTGGTAATAAGTCATAAAGCTAAAATACGTTTTGTGCCTCTGACAAAATGCCACCTTTTTTATCTAAATGGTGCAAGGAAAACAGATTTGTCCAATGCTTAGCCTAGAACTTTACTGAATGCTTTTTCAAGCGCCTCCATACTTGAAAAACCATGGAAACGTACTTTTAAACAGGAAATGATGGAATATTTACGTACATATCTACAGCGGGTCTATTCGCACGGGATTAGTATTACCTGAGGTAATTTTTCCAGACCTTTTTACAGAAGGTAAAAGTCACTGTAATCTTTAATGACAGTGTCCATGATGATTACTGAGATGGCACATGCGGGTGGGACTAAAATCACTGAGAATGTCGTCGAGTAATAATTACTTTGGAGAATTGAGATGTTAAATTAATGAGATGTTAAACCACCTCTCCATGTTAAACTAATCCTTTCCGAATAGGGCTTTAGGCACATCTAAGAGAATTGTGGATTAAATTTGAAGCCCTAATTAACTTAAATCAGTCTAAAGTAGTTCTTCCTTTTTTCAGGTTTCAAGAGTTTTCAGTTCTAGTCTCTTAAGTATAATTTCTCTTGAGTGTTAGGATTGAGTTGGTCAATTGGAATAAACCTTGTGTTGTGACAATACTATTGTTGTGCCATATTGTGTACCCATGTCCAGGTGGAGAGAGAGAAAGCCACACTGAGCAGCACTGTGCATGACCTTCAGCAGCAGTTAGTCCAGTCTAAAGATGCTATCAGTGAGCAACAGGTGAAGATGGATCAGCTGACCCAATGTTTGGAGACCCTTCAGAGTACAGTCTCGAAAAGGACTTGTGAACAAGGGAATGGAATGAGCCTGTCTCCCAGATCCCTTCAAAACCAAGAGTCTGATAGCGGCATCAACTATTACGAAGTGGATGCAAAAAGCACAGAAGTACTAGAGATTCGCATGCAAGCGGCAAATGAGGAGCTTGCACATCTGCGCAAGGAGCTGAAAGAAGCTGGCGAACGCTCAAAGGCCCTGGAGGGGCGCTGCAAGCAGGAGAAAGAACGCTGGAGGGGTGAGGCTCATGAACTCGTTGATAAAATTCGACAGTGTATCACTGCTAGCCGTCAGGACCAGGAGCGAATAGGACAATTGGAGCGAGAAATCGGCGCTACGCGACAGGTCGCCACCGACTCTGAAGGCCACCTCAGTGTTGCGCAGGAGGAGCTTCTTGCCTTCTCTGAGGAGCTGGCTAACCTTTACCATCATGTGTGTGTTTGTAATAACCTCACGCCTAGTCGCGTTACACTGGATTACTATCGTGAAGGAGCCCAAGCAGGGAGAACGCACAACCATTCACAGCCCCACCACTATCGCGGATCCTTCCGCATGCACAGGCGGTCGGGTGAAGTGTTGGACTTGGGCAGCGGAGGAAGCGGAGAAACGTCCTCTAGCTGCGGAAGTTGTCCAGGGTCTCCTACATTAGACTTCAGGGACCCAACTAATGTGCGCAATCTGGTAGCTGTCATACGCTGCCAGATTAAACATTTACAGGTATGTCTTAGCTTATTATAGTAGAATAATAAATTATGTCATTCTAAACTTGTATCAGTTTTTTTTTTGTGAAACACAAAAGAAGATATTAAAGAATTTGGCATCCAATCAGTTTTGGTTGCCATTGACTTTCATTGTATGGACAATTTGTTATCTAAAGTTCCAGAAATGGAAGGTTTGGAAATAGAGGTTTGGAACATGAGGGTGAGTAAATGATGACAGAATTTTGGGTGGACTGTTATTATTTTATAGTAAGCCTTTAAGCCGCTTTTTTTACATTGTTTGATTTATTTTATGAATAAATTGCTTTTGCTAAATTTTCAGGTGGCGGTGGACCTATGCAGGCAGCGCAACCTGTTGTCCTATCCAGCAGCAGGAGAAAGCACTGATTCAGACCGTGAGACAGAGGCACTGCTTGAGGAAGTGTTAAAACTGAAGTCCCTGCTTAGTACCAAGAGAGAGCAGATAGCCACTCTCAGAACTGTCCTAAAAGCCAACAAACAGGTACGGATGTTAGATATGCAAGATTAAATAGAAATTAAATGCATACTAAATAGTAAAATGTGTTTCAAAGTTATACTAAAAAAAAACAACAACTTTTTCCAAATATTATATTAAAAGGGGCCATATGTAGAATTCAGAAACGCTTGTTATTTGTGACACCGGTGGCCGTTAAGTGAACTGCAGCCAGCAAATTATTACTTATGCATATGTAACAATGACCTGATTTGCTCGCGGTGTCGTTCTTTTTTTGTTCTTTTTCGCTTGGAAGTAAAAACAACTTTTGTAGCGATATACTTTTAACAAACGCCCCGACGCCACCCACACTGCTGAGAGTGACGTTTAGGGGAGTATGTAAAATGTCCTGCGTGCTTTCCACTCATTAGCAAAATAAACACAACTAAAATGACAGTAGCGAGAAAGCAGCAGTTTAGAAAGCATCTGATCATAGCGGTGTGGATTCCAGCTCTGCAGTTTATAGGTGAGGTAATTGTGTCTTTGAACGGAAGAAGAGTAAACAACAGTTTAGCGTGTGTAAACATAGCTTTGGGTGAGACGTAAAACCTTGACTCTTAACTCTCTGTGGTCATTCAAAATCCCATGGCACTTCTCGTAAAGAGTAGGGGTTTAACCCCCGTCTGGCCACATTCCACCCATTGGCCCTTGCCAATCATGGCCTCCTAATAATCCCCATCCACTAGATTGGCTCTATCACTCTCTCTCCTTTCCACCTGTAGCTGGTGGTGTGTGGTGAGCACACTGGCGCCATTGTACTGTGGATGCTGCACACTCTGGTGGTGATTGAGGAGAGATCCCCTGATATGATTGTAAAGCGCTTTGGGTGTACAGTAGTACAAATGTAAATGCCTCATTACTTCATTCATTTTCAGGAAGGAATAAACGTCCCGAGTCCTTCACATAAAAATCAGTCAACAGGCTTTCATAGAGAACCTAGGAAGTCAGGGAAGGTCTCAGTTTCTGTACAAGTTGTTCACACACTAAAAAAGCGATTAATAGATAAAAATTCTTACAAATGTTAAGACCTTTACCTTTAAACTTAACTTTTCAAAAGCCCTACTTTTCAGCTCTAATCCTGTACTGTGCAGTAAACACTTACTTAACATATTTATACAGAAAATGTACATTGAAATCGACAGACAAACTTGTCAATGATAGAGCAGACACAACTCTTGAAATAGCCATATATTGGTAAACTACTTGGCCTGGCTAATATATCAGTCTATCACTACTTTTATTGGGAATTGATTGACCAGTTTTGTAATTTCCTTTACTCTGTGCAGTTCGAGTATATTTCTAAAATGAAGCACGTGGTTTCTTTTGATGTGATGTCTGATTTAGTCATTTTTCTTCTCCAGACGGCCGAATTGGCTTTGACCAACCTGAAGACAAAGTATGAGACAGAGAAGTGCATTGTGGATGAGACGATGATGAAGCTGAGAAATGAACTGAAAGCTTTGAAGGAGGATGCAGCCACCTTCTCCTCCCTACGGGTCATGTTTGCTAGCAGGTATGATGGGATTACATGTGCACAAATTGTTTTGTGTACTCGCTGGCTCAAGGAAGTTTCTACGGTCATCATTCTTGCAACACATATCTCCTGTCTATAGGGGTTTTAGAGTAAAACTAGTTGTTTGTACACTGGTTTGATTTATGGAAAGAATGCAGATGAGTTCATAGTTGATTATCTCAATTGAAATTCCAGATTTCCCTCGTCAATTCAGAAAACAAACTGATCAATTTTAGTTGTAGTATTTTTAACTTTTATATCTTCTTGGGGGATATATATTTTATATGATCCTCTTCTTTTATGTCTTGGGGGAGCTAAGAAATCATAAATGATCAGCTGAAGTGATAATAAGGATTTATAGGGTGTTTTTTAGTAATAGTACAACCTGCATCATGGTGAAAGACTGCAGGCAGTGTTTGTTTACATATATTGAAAGACTTATGAGAGGTCTTTGGGATATAGTCATAGAGATTAGACAGTCATGACCCTGTTTTAAAAGCACACTAATAAGATTATAATATCAAGGCCTGTTCTCCCACGAGTTCCTCACATGCTGATTAACGTGCAGCTCTCTGATCCCGTGTGCTGGCAAGGGCAGCTTGCTCTGAGCTCAAGTCATAGATCAAGTGTCAAGGGAACAGTGAGTAGTGGAAGCAGGGATAACGTTTTGAGTCATGTAACTGTAAAAAGAAAAATCTAGACCTATAGAACATTAATTTTGTTTGTTTGGATATGTAGTGGTCAACCGATATATATTTTTTTATGGCCGATGCCAATATAAACCCTTTTTATAACAGGGTTCCAGACTGCGACCATTTTTTGAGAATGTGCGAGTTAAAATTTTATGTGGTCGCATATGTGCAAGTGGACACTCACGCAACAGAACGCCATTGTATCAGCTTCTGCAGTCCGTAACTTATGTTCAAAATGAACGAGTAGGCTACATCATGAATTCATTTTCCAAACCGTGTTTTTGACTTATCCTGAATCACTAGGGTACGCCTATAATAAGTGTGTATATTCTGAGTATTTTATCCCAGGGTCGACTCTGATGCGGAGTTGCACAGTGCCTGCGTGACTCGCCATAGACATTACTGTAGCCGGAGCTACTTCTCTCCATTATTCTTCCGCAAGACACGTGCAGTTTATTTATTGACGAACATAGACGTCACACGCTTTGCACACTGATGGTGGAACGTGCCAATTACAAATTCACAAATTAAGGCGTATATAAAAATGAAAATGTCTCAGGCGCCCCAAACAGCGCGCCCCTTCCTACGTCTTTTCAGCGGTTAGATGAGAGTAATCACTTGACTGAGGAAAAGGAATTTATTATAAAATGCAGAAGATTATGATTCAAATGTAAAGTGCTTAAAATTACAGATTAAAATTACTGTCCATAATCCATGGAAATCATGAAATTTGGCAATGATAATATTAATATATTACAGGTATTTATGCTGCAATCCAGAAAGCCTTTGTTAGCTTTGGTCCATTAAAACCACTATTCATTAGCATGCATTGATTAATCCCATGGGATGTAGCAAAAAAAAAAAAAAAAAAGGTGCGACCAAATCAAATGCAGGTGCGACCAACTGAGAAAGTTGGTAGCACCAGTTCAACCACTGGAAAAGTTAGTCTGGAGCCCTTTATTATTAGTAGAAATTTTTGACATTAAATGTCTTTACTGTGCATCCTTTCTAAATAACTATTATTTAAAAAAAAAATAAAAACGTACCACCCCAATCTTTTGAATGGTTGTGTATGTATTTAATTTATACTGGCCATAGGCCGACCTCATTTCAAAAATATCGGCATCAGCAGTTTTAAAGTTGCAGTATGTAAGATTGACAGCTAGTGGTTGAAATTGGTACTGCAGTCTAAGTTCAAAGTATTGGAGAGGGTTGTTTCCCCCGCCCCCTCCTCCTCAGACTCAACACTCACATGGGTCGCCAAATTGAGGACACGCAACAGGAACAAGCGAAATTGACTATGGAAGGCGACGAGCCTTACACTGTAAGTTATTGAGTTGTATGTATCCATGTTTAAAATGTCTCTGGACCAATGGATGCTGAGGCTTTTTAGGTTGATTAGAATGTGTTCTCTGACCCAGTTTGTTTGCTGGCTTCCATTGCTGTAATAAGCTTTGTTTTCCATTAATTGGCAACCTAGGGGTGTCAATGCTAATTGGGACAGTGGAATAACTGGCTGTATCGTTGTTTTTTGAAGAAACACGTGAACTTAGCATATTTCCCACATATCTGCAAACATATTATGGTATTTTTATGCTCTAGTGCAGTCAAAAAAAAATACATACTGCACTTTTAAAAAAAAAGACCTCTAGTTACTAGATGGTTGGTTACACTCCCAAGCCAAATGAGCTCTCTTCTGTGTCTTTCTGTTTTGAACCTTAGATATTTTCAGTGTAAATCTATGGGATTGATTTGAATTTCTTTTTTCTCCACCCACTTTTTCCACCGCCAGGCTAAAATTGTGAGTTTGCACAAGTCTCTCCTTAACAGAACTCAGTTTTTCTGTCATGTCTAACTTGATTAGTGCCTAACAAGTTACAGGCCAAATATATACTTTTGGATTGGATTAACCTGTTAACTGTCACCCCCCCTTTTTTGAATAGACATGAAAATGCACATTTCGAACTTAAATGGTTGTAATTCAAGAATGCTTTGGAATATAGACATATGATTGGTCTTGTTTTAAAGAAGACATTTGGCAGATTTTTGTAGAAGTGAAATAAATTAAGAAAGTGAAACAGAAAAAAAGTTATAGAAGTTTGAGTTTATGGAAATGTACAATGTAAAAATATTAATTATATTTTACATAAAATATATATTTTCAAAACCTGGGCTACTCTAAAATGGCAGAAAGATCAAAGCCAAAAATCTGAACAAGTTGTGTTTCAAATTTTAGGTTGATATCTCAAAAAATGAGCTTTCAGTAAGATTTTGTTTGAGCGCAGTACCAAACTTTTTCACTAGGGCACAATCAGACTCCATTACTGCCCATATAAGGGCGCCTGCATTTCCATTCCTGTTTTGAGTGATATGAACCATTATTTTCACAATTTTCATACAATTTCTGAAGTAGAGATCCTATTCAGAAGTAGTATGGGAAGTTTGGCAGATTTTGATATAAATTGAACCTCTAAGAAACACATACAACGAACACGCATGTAAGTCATAGCTAGCTGCCACGTCACAAATGGTGAATTTATTATTTTTTTCTTGATATTTCAAACTTTTCAGACCTTTTTTTTTCCAAAATAAATTGAATGGATTCTATCTTTTGAACTTTTGGCATGAAAACAAACTGAGGTATCTACCATTTTTTCATGATTTTTCATGTTTACTGCTATTTTAAAATAAAGGTCTGAACATGCCTTATGAGTATGAAAATATTCTTGTTTTATATTGATAAATTATGGCTCCTCTGTAATATATTTTGAAAATCATTCACCAAATATGGAAACTAGAGATTGTAAGCTTTCAAATGATATATAGTTTGTCAATATTATTTAAGGTATTTACTAAGATATTATTGTTTTAAAAATATAGTGGCAAACGTCCCACCTGTGGGACGGTGACAGTTAAGTGGTAAAGGATTTGTTTTAAACTAAAGTATGTCAATAGTAATAGTGACGCAAGCATAATTATCAAGGTTATTTACTATTTGCTGGTTTATTGTCATTTAATTTTTTAGGCATCAAAGGCTTATGCTCTGTTTTGTGTGTGTGTAGCGCTCTCATGAGGACAGACAGAAAACACTATTCCAGACATTCTTGCATCAGTTTTTAATAAAAAATAAATAAAAATAAGGGATGTTTATGCAAAGTGTAATCCCTTTTATTCTTTTGTTATTTCATTCTATATGTATCTCCATTCTCGTTTCCTGTATTCTTATTATCTCCCCGTTTTCACAGATGTGACCAGTACGTAACTCAGTTAGAAGAGATGCAGAGACAGCTCGCCGCCGCTGAGGATGAGAAAAAGACACTCAACTCTCTCCTCCGCATGGCCATTCAGCAGAAACTGGCATTGACCCAGCGGCTGGAGGACCTGGAGACTCCTCTGTCTCCTCTCAGTAACGGTGGGAGCCCACGCTATTCCCGGACCAAGCATCTGACCAAATCGGGCCGAGCACCGCGGAGCCCCATGAGAAGCAGTCCACGCTCCAGTCCGGTGCTGGTTTCTTCTGGCCCGCAGAACATAAGCAGCCACTTGAGGGTGTTCTCTCGTAGCCTTCACAGCAGCCCCGTAAGAGTGCCCTCATCTTCTTCCTCATGCTCGTCTTTTTCTGCCTCAAACCAAACCGAGGCCTCAACATCCACGCAGAGTTTAGCATCTGTCGGTCTTGTGCGCGACACTACTTTCGTTCGGAGTCACGGGTCAAGATCGTCTCGCTCCTTAGATGACTCTACTGGAGGGTTGGGACCCTTCGCCATTCAGTCACGACAACCCAAAGTTAATGAATCACAGGCAAACCGCCTGAAAGTGTCAGCACCGTTTCGCAGCAACACGTTTATTAAAGCACGTCGCACATCTTTACCTCTGAACGAAGCTGGCTCACATGCTGTCGAAGCTCTTGCCACACGATTAGGTAGAACTGACGGATCAGAGAAAAGACGTAAGGTTACGATGGAGGAAAATGATCTTAAACTTTCGAAAAAGTCCAATGCAGAACGTGCGTTTCTCAAAAAGCTGTCTAACGTCTCTAAATCCCGATCTGCTGAGGGAACTACTTTGAGTCGCTTTGCTTGTTCTAATACGCCATCTACAACGCAATCCAAATTTCTCCCTCGGGCAACCTTAAGTGTAGCATCTCCCAGCAGTCAGTCCACTCCGTACAGTCCATCAGATAAACACCGGAAAACATCATTAGCCTGTAAGACCGAAACATCCTCTAGGTTAGCGAGCCATTCAAACTCATGTCAGGATTTTGTTGAGAAAGTCATCTCCAACCCGAGTCGTGAGATTAAGAGGCGACAAGATCCACTCCAAAAACAGCAAAGAGGTGTTGATGCAGCAAACAAGTCAACACACACTTACACACGACAGGCAAAGTACAGAGCCACGTAAAAAAAGCTCAGTTTTACTTAAAAGTAACCAAATTTTACAACTAACTCCGATAATTCTATTACAAAAACATACATAGAGACATTCAGAATGATGTTGATGTTTCTAACAACAGTTGGGCTTTTCATCAAAGCTGTCATTAACAAGTGAAAACGCTCCTTAACCACCACCAATGTGCAGCATCCACCTGGATGATGCGACGGCAGCCATATTGCGCCAGAACGCTCACCACACACCAGCTTACTGGTGGAGAGGAGACAGTGATGAAGCCAATTGGTGTATATGGGGATGATTAGGAGGCCATGATGGACAGAGGCCATTGGGCAAATTTGGCCAGGATGCCGGGGGTTACACCCCTACTCTTTCGAAAGACATTCTGGGATTTTTTTATGACCACAGAGAGTCAGGGCCTCGGTTGAACGTCTCATCCGAAGGATAGTGATGCACCGATGTGAAAATTTGTGTCCAATACCGATAACCGATATTAATATGGCTGATACCGATATTTACTGATGTCGATATCTCTGTATAGAAAACACATAGCGAGGATTAGGGCCACACGATATTGGGAAAAAATGACATTGGGATATTTTGTTTTTCTGCAGTATAAAAACAATTTCACCAGATGTCATTCACATAAATCGAAAACACTTTGCAATAAGGTTCCATTTATTAAAGTCTAGTTTACTACATTAGTTAGCATTCTATTAATATTAGTTTCTATGTGGATTTACTCCATGACAAAAACCACCACAGTCATTCTAGAATGACAAAATCCCTATTCGCACGGGATTAGTATTATCTGGTGACCTGTAGTAATTTGTAATAATTGCGGAGTTTGTCTGTGATCTTAGTCCCGTGCGAATCGGCCATGTCTGTAATTTGTAAAGTAAAAATTCCCCCGCAAATTACCTACTATATTTTGCTGAACACCGAGGTCCTCTGATAATATTAGTCCTGCGCGAATCGACATCTCTGTGATTTGGCCGGATCGTATATCATTTTTTCAAGGTTTTTGTTTCATCTGCGCCTTTTTATCCATCTTTCTGCGAAGAAAAGAGGCTGAGGTGGAGTGTTTTGATAGTATTTTTGGTGTGGGGTCATATAGCTAGTACAACTATACAATTTGCAGAAAGAGAAAGCTGAAAACCATCAGAAGAGCATAAAAAAAGAACGATTAGATGGTGATGAATGACATGTTAGCAGCATACGGTAAGGACAATTATTCTGTTTATTATATACAGCTAGACATAATAATAACGACAAGACATTTCAAAGCTATAGCCTAATGACATCATATCTGGGAGATAAGTCAGTAAATTCGAGTAAAATCACAGGCTTCACTTATCCCGTGCGAATGCGCCGCACGAAATTTACATGTGGGTGGGTAATTTGAAATTCACACGTGGTCCCCAGGTAATACTAATCTTGTGCGAATAGGGCTTAAGTTAACCCTTGTGCATCGTTGTGGACATTTTTGTCCTTTTCAGTTTTGTTTTTTTGATCACTTTGCTTGTGTTAAAGCTAACTGCAAAAAACTTGGCACAGGTGTGTATTTTTATTCGAATTTTACTATTTCACCGTCATTTTCTTAAAAAAATATTTTTTGCATTAGGTACAAAAAATACTCCCTCTCAGCCCCTTTTGGACAAAAATGTCCCCATTGAAACCCATTAAAACTGCCATTTTTAATCCCCGGTTCAGTTAACTATAAAATTATGCTATCTTTGTTAAGAGGCTTTCATTCTGATGGCAAGGCTTCAAAATTTTATTTTTTACTATTTTTTTTTTTTTATCAGATGGTTTAATTTTTTTTAAAGTTTGGCCTATAAAACAATTGTCGCTTTATTCCTGTTTTCTGGTTCGGCATACTATAGCCAACTGGATAAATTATGCAACGATATTTGTGTCGGTGTGTTGGTATGGATGTCAGAGTGTGGTTAGTATGTGTGTTATAAAAAAATATGTGTGTGTGTGGGCATGTGTGTGTTTGTCAGACTGAGAGAGAAAAACTGCAAATTCAAATCCAACCACTGTGAGCACCAGTGGGGTTTTGCTGGGACCCAATGGGGAAAATATGTTACTACGCCCAAACAAACTGTTACCGAAAGCTCATTTTTTGAGATATCATCCTCAAATTTGGAACACAACCTATTTAGATTTATGGCTTTGATTTTATTGTAGTTTTGAGTTCAACCTGATTTAAAAAATATATTTTTTTATGTAAAATATTATTTTATAAATAATTTTCATAAACTTATACCTATCTAACTTTTTTTTGGATTTACTTATTATTATTTTTTTACTTCAGCAATAATCTGCAAAGGGTCTTCTTTAAAATGATACCAAACTTAAGTCTGTGCTCCAAAGCGTCACATTTTTATGACAGTTTTTTGACATGGACATTTTTGTCCTCTTTTTACCTGTGTAACTTTTTTTAATTGATGCACAAGGGTTAACTAGACTTTAATAACCTTATTGTAAAGTGTTTCCGATTGATGTCTCTTGAGTTCAGTGTTGGACAGGTCAGTTGTTTTAACCATTCATTCAAGTGAATCGGTTCAAAGGAGTTATTAGTTTGCGAATCGCACATGTCAACGGACCACGGCACACGTTTGTGTGATTATCCAGGCAGTTTAGGACATCGCACAAGATTTGTCTCAACAACACAGAAAACATTTGAGATAGAAGTGTGGTTTGTCATCTGAATGTGTGGAAGCTTTTTAGAGAAGATGAGGCAATGTTATTTTAGCACAATTCACAACCAGTGGTAGTTCAGGAAAAAAAAAAAAAAAAAACTTCGGTCTTCCGACCTTTTACCATCAAATATCAAAGATTTACAATATCAAAGATATTCACTCAACTCAATTCATTAACATGTGTGGCGAGAGAGAGTTTGAAAACGGAGCGCGACCAGGCTTTCACTTTCTCTGCTCGTTCTGTTAAACAAGCGCAGCAGTCGGTCATCTACATCTACATCACTCACTGGTCAAATAAGGCTTTGGCTGGACAAAAATACGCCTTAGTAAGGTTGACAGAAGCAGCACACCAGTTCCAGTCTTCCTCCGCTTGCTGTTTAAACTGACAGGACTTGCGCTAGTAATGTATTAGCTCGTGAAAAAACAAACATCCCTGCCACCACACTGACATCTACACGCATGTCAAATACACCGGTATGATTATCGGCCTGTTCACATCGGCCTTATTATGACATCGAAACGATACCGATGTGTATAAAATTGATCACACTGGCCGATATATCGTGCACCACTAATTCTAATATGTGGATTTGGCGCTCAAGAAACATTTTTTTATCAATATTGAAAATGGTTGTGGTGTTTCAGCATTTGGAATTTGAATGAACGAACTCTTTTGACTTGCTGTGTCACTCTGTCTTTGCAGAAATGAAAGCCTCCTTGTGTCCTACCTCTGTGCTCCAGTGTACATGGACCATGTTCATGAACACCCTCACCCTGCAGACCTCTCCTCTTCCTCATCAGACCTCACCTCATTGGATCTCTCATCATGTCCCTCAAGCCTCTCCCACCCTCTCTCTCTTGCCTGTTTTCCATGTGCCCGTCTTGTTTTTGTTTGTTTGGATCAATAATTTTCAGCTTTAAGACACTGAAAGCTGAACACTGTCATGTCATCTCACGATTTTTCCTTATTCATGAACATATGTACCAAACCAAAAACTCTTACTTGGAGATCAGTATTATTTGAAGTCTAACTGGCTGTGACTGACCTTTTATTATGCTAGCCATAGATAAGCACACCTTGTTTTGGTTTTAGCCATTATAAAACTGAATTTTTAGGTATCAATGAAGACATTCCTCTGGTATAACTGACCAGTTGTGCGGTTCTTCTACTACTCATTGGTTATTGACATGTAACTTGCATTGGCCTTTAAATAAATGCGTACAGTGTAACCAGTAATCAGAACAATCAACTATGCAGAGGTACAAAGACTTTTGCTGCTAATTAGCTCATGCTAAATAATAAAATTAACAAACTGCCAGTTTATCCTACCTATAACACGGGGTTAACCACCAGCACTGTTAAGACAAAAGCAATTTATTTGATGTAGTATGATAGTGGAAAACTGCTGTGACGGTTGTTCATGTCAACATTGACGGGAAAACTATAATAGCATTTAAAATAGTGCCTTAATATTTTGGAGTTTTGAGTGAAGCTTTGTAGATAATTGGTTTAATATTTCGTTAAGTGTAATGATGGTAAAGGTTTTTGTTGTTTTAAGACTAATTATGGACATTTACACATGCATGTGCAAATTACATGCATGTTACATTCCCTGCAATAGGTTTGTTTTGTTCATTTACCCCTAAGCAACCAATATTTTACTGTTCTTGTCAGAACCGTGTGTGTGTATGTAAGATGTGTCGACTTGATTGTCAAAACTTTCATCTTGTTTTCAGTCAGTCATGTTTCTAGATTCCAAAAATGCTTCCTGTTGTATTTTTATTGTTGTTTATTTTTTAACTTGATTTCCTTTTATATTTTATTGTTCAACCCTACAAAATAATAATTATGAAAAATCTGGTCTTGTTTGTGAAGGGAAAGAAATGTAGTGCAAAAATAAAATTCTTTTCAATGTTCCGATTGTTCCCGTATTTGTCTTATTGAGGATGAATTGACATGTCAAGCCGTGTCCTGCAGAGTGGGATGACGCACTTCATCTGAAATGGTTTTCAAAAATGGCTGTACAATTGTTGATTAAGTGTACTGTTGTTGTTTTTTTAATCACACTGCAGGTTGGTTTTATTTTAGTATAATTTATTGTAGTATTAATTTAGTATTTCAACTTAAAAATTAGATATTTTGCCTTGGCAAATAGCTTAAAGTAGAATGTTTTTGTAATAGAAATGTTTTATTTACTTAAAAAGTAATGTTGTCTTTAGTTAATGATAGTCACAAGTTGGTGGTGTGGCAATTTGGTGACTCATTTGAATAAATATTCGCGTTTTCTACCCTACTTTTAATTATGTATGTTCATGCGCTTATGAATTTATAAGTTAAAAATGTACTTTTTTTTTTAAAGGTTTAACTATTTAGAATTTGATCTAAACCTAAAGTAATTTTGGGGTTGTGTCTAGAGAGGTTTTAATATTTTAAATAATTGAATGCATTTAACTCGGTAAGTTTTGAGATACAGCTAGTGGTAAACTTTCATTCTTGACATATTAATTATGCAGGTTAATATTAACCAATGACTCGGTTTCATTTCAATGGGTTCCACTCATCACATATCAGTTTCCTCCGAGTTCCCGGAGTCATATTTCAGTTTTGAGGCTTCTGTGCCCTCTAGTTTGACATTTGCTCATCTTTAGTCCGAGGGGGTCAGTATTTTCATTATGTCCTGCAGTAAAAAGATCTCTGATGAGATCAGTATGACGATTCTCTTGTTGCACTGCTGACAGAGGGCCAGCACTTCCTGATGTAACTGTTCTCCTTCAGCACAAATGTAATGAAAGGATCTAGAGAAATGCTTTGAAGTAAAAGTATTAATTTCCTCTTCAAAATGTAGTGAAGTCAACCGACATACAGTCACAATGAAATCAAAATTGACAATTCTTATTTTTTATGTAATATTATTTATAAATAATTTCTCCGTGCACATCATTATTATTATTTTTTTATCCATGTGCCCTAAAAATCTTTCATCTAAATAGAGATGTAAGGACATCTCTTCTCTGATGATGTGTTTACTGGTGGGAAAGCAAACACGATCATAAGGTCAATTCCCGACGGAAAAAAATCAAGGCAGGCTCTAGATGTCACTTTAGGAAAGAAAAGTTTCATTTTATACACAATTTAATTTAAATGAAACTCAGTTAAATGTAAGGTAGGCTAGGCATTTTCTTTTAATAAACACTATTTGTTATACTGCGCTATGGGCGGGCCTTAGGGGGCCGGGCCCGCCTACCGAGCGCCTGTGCCCCCCTCTCCATGCAATTTGCAATTAATACATTTTAAAAAGAAATTTATTTTAAAAATAAAAATAATGTATTGAATAACGCATGCGGAGATTCCACTCCCAAAAACGTCGACTTCAGCTGTATTAAGAACATGAGTGGGCCAGTTATTTTTATTACTCTTTTTAAGTTGCACCAGCCCTGACACAATGCTAAATCATAAAACAGATATGTACAATAACATTACGATATCCTTTAATCGATTTAAATAGTTATTGATTTAGGTTTATGTGGTCGTTCAATTACGCGTTTATATTTGTATTAAATGTGAATGTAAATAATGGTCCAGGGGTAGAACTTTTGCCAAGCGTGCCAGAGATTCTGGGTTCTAATCCGTTCTAATAACATTTTTTTTTCCATCAAAACTGATTATGTTTATCAGTGGTTGTATATCAGGCACAGACAAAACATCTTCAGAACATTTTGTGTTTTAATTTCACCGTAATGAATAGAGTCTCTCCACAACGGATTGCGTGTCCGAGTGAAGACTGTGCGCAAACCAGAAAAAAAAAAACATTAGCCTATCCGCGCCAGCGGCAACTAGCATTAATTTGAACAGTTGATTTTAAAAACACATTTTAGCGCTAGATCGTCTCTTATTTAAAAAACGAACGAAACGAATGCTCTGCTAGTTAACTGAAGATGTTTTGTTTATTTGTATTGGTGCATTCGTGCCGGAATGTTTCAAAAGTGGTGGTTACAATATCGACGGTGGGGACCTATCCCACCCGCAAATTACGCCTGGTACTTGAAATCGGCGTAATAGTTGGTTTTTGTCCTATAGAAAAATGTATTGGATGTCATAATTAGCCCCCCCCTACAATATTAAATGCCGTCCATTGGTTTGTTTCTGCAGCGGCTCTGCTCATGGCCCTCTATCAGAATCCAGAGTTTTGGGAAGATTGGAGAAACTTAATTTTTCGCCCCAAAAAAAAACGTAAGGGGTACCACTGTCGTTTTTTTTTTCGGGCCGAATTTTTGAGTTTCGATATCTCAGCTCTGGAAGGGGCTAGAGCCTCCATTTTTGCACTCAGGTCTAAGTCTCATGGCCCTCTATCAGAATCCAGAGTTTTGGGAAGATTGGAGAAACTTAATTTTTCGCCCAAAAAAAAAAACGTAAGGGGTACCACTGTCGTTTTTTTTTCGGGCCGAATTTTTGAGTTTCGATATCTCAGCTCTGGAAGGGGCTAGAGCCTCCATTTTTGCACTCAGGTCTAAGTCTCATGGCCCTCTATCAGAATCCAGAGTTTTGGGAAGATTGGAGAAACTTAATTTTTCGCCCAAAAAAAAAAACGTAAGGGGTACCACTGTCGTTTTTTTTTTCGGGCCGAATTTTTGAGTTTCGATATCTCAGCTCTGGAAGGGGCTAGAGCCTCCATTTTTGCACTCAGGTCTAAGTCTCATGGCCCTCTATCAGAATCCAGAGTTTTGGGAAGATTGGAGAAACTTAATTTTTCGCCCAAAAAAAAAAACGTAAGGGGTACCACTGTCGTTTTTTTTTTCGGGCCGAATTTTTGAGTTTCGATATCTCAGCTCTGGAAGGGGCTAGAGCCTCCATTTTTGCACTCAGGTCTAAGTCTCATGGCCCTCTATCAGAATCCAGAGTTTTGGGAAGATTGGAGAAACTTAATTTTTCGCCCAAAAAAAAAAACGTAAGGGGTACCACTGTCGTTTTTTTTTCGGGCCGAATTTTTGAGTTTCGATATCTCAGCTCTGGAAGGGGCTAGAGCCTCCATTTTTGCACTCAGGTCTAAGTCTCATGGCCCTCTATCAGAATCCAGAGTTTTGGGAAGATTGGAGAAACTTAATTTTTCGCCCAAAAAAAAAAACGTAAGGGGTACCACTGTCGTTTTTTTTTCGGGCCGAATTTTTGAGTTTCGATATCTCAGCTCTGGAAGGGGCTAGAGCCTCCATTTTTGCACTCAGGTCTAAGTCTCATGGCCCTCTATCAGAATCCAGAGTTTTGGGAAGATTGGAGAAACTTAATTTTTCGCCCAAAAAAAAAAAACGTAAGGGGTACCACTGTCGTTTTTTTTTTCGGGCCGAATTTTTGAGTTTCGATATCTCAGCTCTGGAAGGGGCTAGAGCCTCCATTTTTGCACTCAGGTCTAAGTCTCATGGCCCTCTATCAGAATCCAGAGTTTTGGGAAGATTGGAGAAACTTAATTTTTCGCCCAAAAAAAAAAACGTAAGGGGTACCACTGTCGTTTTTTTTTCGGGCCGAATTTTTGAGTTTCGATATCTCAGCTCTGGAAGGGGCTAGAGCCTCCATTTTTGCACTCAGGTCTAAGTCTCATGGCCCTCTATCAGAATCCAGAGTTTTGGGAAGATTGGAGAAACTTAATTTTTCGCCCAAAAAAAAAAAACGTAAGGGGTACCACTGTCGTTTTTTTTTCGGGCCGAATTTTTGAGTTTCGATATCTCAGCTCTGGAAGGGGCTAGAGCCTCCATTTTTGCACTCAGGTCTAAGTCTCATGGCCCTCTATCAGAATCCAGAGTTTTGGGAAGATTGGAGAAACTTAATTTTTCGCCCAAAAAAAAAAACGTAAGGGGTACCACTGTCGTTTTTTTTTCGGGCCGAATTTTTGAGTTTCGATATCTCAGCTCTGGAAGGGGCTAGAGCCTCCATTTTTGCACTCAGGTCTAAGTCTCATGGCCCTCTATCAGAATCCAGAGTTTTGGGAAGATTGGAGAAACTTAATTTTTCGCCCAAAAAAAAAAACGTAAGGGGTACCACTGTCGTTTTTTTTTCGGGCCGAATTTTTGAGTTTCGATATCTCAGCTCTGGAAGGGGCTAGAGCCTCCATTTTTGCACTCAGGTCTAAGTCTCATGGCCCTCTATCAGAATCCAGAGTTTTGGGAAGATTGGAGAAACTTAATTTTTCGCCCAAAAAAAAAAACGTAAGGGGTACCACTGTCGTTTTTTTTTCGGGCCGAATTTTTGAGTTTCGATATCTCAGCTCTGGAAGGGGCTAGAGCCTCCATTTTTGCACTCAGGTCTAAGTCTCATGGCCCTCTATCAGAATCCAGAGTTTTGGGAAGATTGGAGAAACTTAATTTTTCGCCCAAAAAAAAAAACGTAAGGGGTACCACTGTCGTTTTTTTTTCGGGCCGAATTTTTGAGTTTCGATATCTCAGCTCTGGAAGGGGCTAGAGCCTCCATTTTTGCACTCAGGTCTAAGTCTCATGGCCCTCTATCAGAATCCAGAGTTTTGGGAAGATTGGAGAAACTTAATTTTTCGCCCAAAAAAAAAAAACGTAAGGGGTACCACTGTCGTTTTTTTTTCGGGCCGAATTTTTGAGTTTCGATATCTCAGCTCTGGAAGGGGCTAGAGCCTCCATTTTTGCACTCAGGTCTAAGTCTCATGGCCCTCTATCAGAATCCAGAGTTTTGGGAAGATTGGAGAAACTTAATTTTTCGCCCAAAAAAAAAAACGTAAGGGGTACCACTGTCGTTTTTTTTTTCGGGCCGAATTTTTGAGTTTCGATATCTCAGCTCTGGAAGGGGCTAGAGCCTCCATTTTTGCACTCAGGTCTAAGTCTCATGGCCCTCTATCAGAATCCAGAGTTTTGGGAAGATTGGAGAAACTTAATTTTTCGCCCAAAAAAAAAAAACGTAAGGGG